ATATATATATATATATATATATATATATACCGGAGAGTGTTATATTTGTTCAAGGCACTAAAGCACTCAAAAAAGCTTTTCGCCCCAACAGTATTTTTACTAACAGGTTTTTCATTTCACAAAAATAACACGATATTTACTTCGCCTATTTTTAGCCAGAAAAAAATTTGGGCGACTTTCAAATATATATATATATATATATATATATATATATATATATATATATATATATATAATTAAATGTGTCATTTACTCTTTAAATTCAAATGAGTAAGCGTCTATTTTCGTCAAGAAATCTGCTAACCAGAAAACGGAAAACGGAAAAGTTTTCTTCCTTTTCCTCTTCCGATGGAGAAGTTTGCACAGTAATTATGTCACCTTCTTAGTCCTCCACCTTCAAAGTCTTTTTCTCATTGAAATGGCGAACTTTTTCGTGGTGACGAAGCAGATACGTCCTTTTGAATATAAATAGAGCAGACTGAAGGGATGAAAGGATCAAGAATAAAATATAATAGATTGATAATTGGGGTATTTATATTGACAGTATAAAAACTTAGGATGATGATTTTTATGTATTTATATTATATTGTATAACAAAAGTTTCCTCTGTCCCTCCCTCTTTGTGATAAAACTACTGCAGAAAATATAATGAATATCATGTTTCAATTTGCCGGCGAAATGAATTATGAAGTACGGAAACAATATTTGATGTCATCAAATTATGAATATTATTCACGCTATGTGTCAACAATAGTTACAGTCAACAACCTAGAACTATACTGTTCTATATAGAACGGCGAGAGGATAAAATTTACGGGGCGACTTCGCCACCGGAACGCACTGGGAAATATATAGCCATAGAAATATATATATATATATATATATATATATATATATATATATGTGTGTGTGTGTTGTGTGTGTGTGTGTTGAATATGCTTTAAATTTTATGTGCAGAAATTGAAATAATCATACCGAAATTTTATCAATATATGATGCAAATTATTCATGAACGCACATTATAGAATAAATTTGGGTAGTATACTAATTTAATTCAATTATATCGAATTCAAAGTCGTTTTATTTCAAATTTTTATATCGGAGTGTATATAACTGTTGGCATGAAATCGTAGTAAATTTTATCTAGTTTTTCGCTATCTAACCGAAAAAGGGTGCTTTCATATGATATTTGTGAGTTGTTTGACAAAAACCAAAAAATTTTTTCTCCTGGCTCTAAACTACTTCCCTGCGAATTTTCAGCTAAATCGGTACAGCCGTTTGTGAGTTTTTACTTATATATTGATATTTCTGAAATTTTATTTATATTATTTATTAATCTTATTTTTATCATTATTTGCTAATATTTTACATTAAATCATATTACGGATATTATTTTTATGTAAATTTTATCCTTTGCTCTTTTATTTATTTAAATTTATATTATTATTTATCAATATTACTTGATGTTAATAAATTAGCAGTTGTAATAATTATTGAAATTAATATATATATATATATATATATATATATATATATTGATATATACATATATACTAGCTGACCCGCCAGACGTCTATATTTTACACAATTTTTATAATACTATGAAAAAACACCACTGCTTTTATAACTAATTGTAAATTATGTCCAATATTTTTTTATTTGTGTTACAATATCAATAAATATTAAAAAAATAACAAATTTAAATCTATTAGATATACAAAAGTTTTGGATTTTGTTGCATTAACATATTACATAATAAAAACAAACTCAAAAAAATATTATTTTGTTGAATTAAAAGAAATAAAAAAATATAAGAATTCTTTCTACCATTTCCAATGAAATCCCATCACAACTATTAAGCGTCAACAATTTAAATAAAACAATGTTCCCGGAGTATTTTCTCTCATATTTTCCGGAACTTTAATGGAAACTGTCAATAACGATTTTCATAATTCCAAAGTTAATTTCATACGATGCTATTTTTCATCCCTCTGTCGAAGACGGAGACTTTTAAGTAGGGTTTTGCGTGGAATCTAATAAGAAACCCATCGGAATCTTATTAGAGACGGTTATTGTTTTGAAAGAGGACGGAAAAAATAGGTAAATTAAAGTTATATATATATATATATATATATATATATATTAATTTTTTTTTATTATAATTTTGATGTTGAAATATGTGATATTCAGTTTTCAGGGCAATACATCAATTAAAAAATTTGTATGACTTTAAAACATTTTTATTTTTTCCATACGTTTCGGCACATTGTTTTGTGTCATCTTCAGTGGACTCTAGTTTGAAGAACAGATAGAAATTATTAAATAAAACTAATATTAAGATTTATATATAAGACTAATATTAATGTTAATATTAATATTAACAAACTAGAGTCCACAGAAGATGACACAAAACAATGTGTCGAAACGTATGGAAAAAATAAAAATGTTTTACAGTTCATACAAAATTTTTTAATTGATGTATTGCCCTGAAAACTGAATATCACATATTTCAACATCAAAATTATAATAAAAAACCAGCTATAACCTTGATTCTTATGACTTTGGTATTGGGAGATAAATGGTAATCTTTGAAAATCCATAATAAAAGTATTTTCTTCCGTTGGTAGTTTTTTACCAATTAGTTAAAAATGTGATTATTTTGTAAAATACTTTTGAAATTAAAATATGACATTAGACCTGTTTGCCATCTGGTCATTTCAAGTTACCCCACATATAGGATAAAAAGGTCTAGATAACAAATTTTTGGAAGACATCAAAAAAGCACATTTCTACAATGATGAAGTAGAAGTCAGTTTACTGAACGTAGTCAGATAATTGTTCGTTTGATATGTCTTATTTGTTGTGATATAATTGTTATGGTTTTCACAATATAGTTTATATTTGCTCAAAGTCAAATTGGACCTTTGTGCCTCGCCCTGCTCTACATATATACTTTATATTAAATTTACTTTAATTCACCGAATGTTACTTGAAACTTTTCAAAAAGCAGGTAAAAAAAGAAATACTTTTTTGAATTTTAAATATTTATTTTCTATCTCTTCTCGCAAAAATTTGAAAATTTTGTATAAGCTCAGTAGTATTATTTACAATTATACACAAAATCCAGAATTCAAAAAAAATCTGAAAAACTTGAAACGTAATTAATAAGCCGAAAGACCAAAAAAGACTCTGATTGGATTATATGATGTTTTCTATAGAAAGTGTATAAAACTTGCAGTTTGGTTGTATTGATAAAATATAGACAAACTAATGGGGTTTATTGTTTCTATAATACCTAGTTATATACAGCATTCAAACAACACATCCTTACACAAAAAGTATTTTTTTTTTTTGATTCTCTATAAATTGTTTATAAAATACCTTACTTAGCAAAACAACGTTTGCCGGGTCAGCTAGTATACATATATATATATATATATATATATATATACATACAAATTTCTTTTGCCTATTTTTTCCGTCCTCTTTTAAAACAATAACCGTATATTAATATAAAAAATATTTGATCAAAATTAAATTAACAAATTGAAAATATTGATCAGGTTCGTTTAGGCGTTGAAGTCTCCTCAGATTGAATTTTAAAAATTCTGCAACACATCGTATAATTAAATCAAATATTTTTATAATCTTAAATCTTAAAAGAAAATAATGTATATAATATAATTTTACAAAATTAATTCAATCCGAAACTCAAATAAAAAATCAAGAAAGTCCTGAATAATTTTATTTGACTTTTTGTTCCTTTGGAAGAAAACATATTTATCAAAACATTTTCTAAAAAAGAGAACGATGTTAAAAATCACGCCTTGATTGTTTTATTTATTCAAATAATAAAAATTCACAAATCCAATTAGATAATTGGAATAAATTTTGGGTTTTATTACAAAAAATATTGACAAAGAGCTGGTAAAAACATCCTGGGCGAACTTAAATTAATTATTTGTTCTAAAATTTAATATAATTTCTTGAATGGATACTTTGTCAAAAAAACTTTTTTCTTCTCATATATTTTTATATATCAATGTATATATATTTATATCTGTAACTGATACCCATATATGTTTTTTCCCCGAATTTCTAAAACAACACGGCGTGAAAAAATAAGATATTTCTTTTATTTTCTGTTTTTTTTTGTCACGGCCATTTTGAATAATTTTTAAGTGCTTGTGCTTGCATAAAATATGTCCCTTCGAAATAAAAAAATATTTTTGTGAGAAAAATATTTGTATATATAAAAAACAGAGGCGATAATTATTTATGCTGGAAGTCGAGGAAAAACATTATTAAAAAATTATATTTTGTGAATGAATTGTAATTGAGTGCTAAATATGTGAAAAAAGATACTTTGGGATACAGCGACGAAAAATATTGTTGTAGCCTAATTCTTGAAGATTTTTATACCTAAATTATATTTTTATTATTGTTGTTATTTAAATAAATATGTATATTATCATTTAATTCAAATACAATTCTATTACTCGTATTTGTATATATTTTGTCCCCGATGTTCCATAAACATGTACAATTTAGCATTTCTATTCCACTCTTGGGATTAATGTGCTGTACATTATATCAAATTTATTACATGTACAACACATGGGTTCTGTATTGCGAATAAATGGAAAAAATATACTAGGATGTAATAGATATACTCTAAGTAAAGCTTTGGAATTGAAAAGTTTCAAAAAAAATATGTTTATATTGTTTGCTTAACAACAAAGTCGTATGGTGGAGACATGTTTAGCATCGATACTTTTATTAAAGAAATTTTTTTTCAGTGACCAAATTTATAGGTCTTGGAATAGCTGATAAGACTAACAAAATTATGTTATGTTAGATATATAATGTTGCTTAACATCAAAGTCATCAAAGTCGTAAGGTGGAGTCATGTTTAGCATCGATACTTTTATCCACCAAATTTTCATTTGTGATTTTGGTTATAAATTTATATATTTATGATGTGTTTTTTTTTCTTTCAGTGACCAAATTTATCCGTATCGGAATAGCTGATAAGAATGACAATCCTCCATATTTCGACAAAGCCCTTTACGAGGCTGAAGTGGACGAAAATGAGGACATACAGCATACTGTCCTTACTGTCACCGCCAAAGATCACGATGAATGTAAGTCAGACCTTTATATATTTTTATATATATATATATATATATATATATATATATATATATACTAGTATACCCGGCCACGCTCTGCTGTGGCTTTTATCAAAATCCACTGAGTATCTTGGGTATTTATTTACTAGATCTCATGTAACTTCTGAACGCTTAGGTGAATTCAAATGAAATATTCGACAAATTTGTACAAAATTGAATGATCTACAATATTTTTTAACATCATATTGGCTTAGATTAACTCGGTGTACTTTTAAATACCATTTGAAACTACATGACTAATTTGTACGTGCTGAGCGTGCATTTATTTGTTATATTACTCATAAATTTTAAATCATTCGATTGATATGTAGGGCATATAAGGCGAATTCGTTTAAAATTGAATAAACAACAATTTTTCTCAACACAACAACACTCTACAGCAACTCAGTCTACTCAAAAATAAAATAAACAAAAAAAACTATATTATCATTTAGAAAATAAGCTTTGAGCTAAAGTGATTTGCAAATATTGATGCATGTATCTACTACATCTCATGTAACTTTTAAACGCTTTGTTGTATTTAAACAAAATATTCGACAAATTTATACAAAATTAAATAAATTAAAATATTTTCTAACATCATAATGTCCTAGAGCAACTCGGTGTACTTTAAAACTTCGTCCAAACGCGCTAAAACTTCTATTATTTTTTAGTACTGAAACCATTTGCTCGATATAAATGAAATTCAAGACAAAGTTGTTTGAAATTAAATGAACTGCAACTTTTTCTGTTACAATAAAAGATCTTAGAGCAACTCGGTGTACTTTAAAATTGCAATTAAAAACTTGCAAATGGATTTGCAAACGCTTTGTCATTTGTGTAATGAAAATTCTATGCAATAGTAGAAATTCAAGCATTCGATTAATATTGATGAAGGGTAAAGAAAATTCTACTTTTCTTTTCATTATAGTTTAATATCCCTTTCCTATCGTTTTATAAACTACAGCTGCAGCTATTCTTTTTCATAAATCCAATTTCCTCGAGCGAATCAATTTTATTAACTTCGATAAATAAACAAGCAATTTTCATTTTGTCATTTTCCATGTTTTTCCCAAGATGAATCCGAAGAGAAAAATCTTTTTGAGAGAAGAAAAGAAAGTCTCTCTCCACCTTATATGGAAGAATATATATTTTGTCGTGTTAGGATACAATGAATGAGGGAATCCGTCATTTCTATTGTAAAATGTAATAAATCATATTGACGGATTTTATATATATATATATATATATATATATATATATATATATATGTATAAATATAATAAAAGACATACGTGTTTCTATCAGCGCACCAAATATTTTTTGTACATTTTGGGTATTACGACGTTTGTCCGGAATAAACTCCTAAACTACTGAACCTATTTTAAATATTGGCTATATAATAAGTCATTATGATATAAGAAAATATTATGGAGTATTTAATTTTGTACAAATTTGTCAAATATTTCATTTAAATTCAACAAAGCGTTTAAAAGTTACATAAGATCTAGTAAATGAATGCACAAATCTTCAGCTAGACTCAAGACTTATTTAGTAAATTAAAAAATAGTTTTGTAGTTTATTACATTTTAAAGTATACCGAGTTGTTTTACTGCTTTATAGTGTTAGCGAAAGTTAAAGTTTGTATAATTTTAAACAAATTTGTCATACACATCATATACATTAATCGAATGGTTTAGAACTTATGAGCATCTCAACAAAGAAATGCACACTAAATTCAAAATCAGACACAGAAATACATTTTTTATGCAGTTAGATATGGAAACAATTATTTTTATTTCAAAATTATACAAGTAAACTATTTAAAAAAAAAATGTACAAAAATAAAAAAACGTGTTTATCAATTTCTCAAAATAATTATTACAAATATATTCCAATATTTTTGTGCACTGAATTATAATATTGATTAAATTCGCTTGTACTTTGATGGATTTTTGAGTCGTAAAATTGAAAAATATGTTTGAATTGACAATTTATATATATATATATATTATATATATATATATATATATATATATATTCATATATAATAGAGAAATTCTCTTTGGAGCAATATGACTACTCGAGTGCTCCACAATGTGTTCTGGTCTATTCAAATGCAAAAATCTGAAATTTGTTTTTGAAATTGCTCTGTTGAATAAAATGGCATGAATTGAATGTACGATTTGATTGCCTGAAAAGGGCTCTTTATATTTTATATATTTATATATAAATATGTTAAAGGTGCATAGATAGATAAACACTCGTATGGAAACACTTTTGTAAAAAAAACATGAAAAATCTTATAAATTACAAAATTATTTATATATATCAGTTGCAAAATATTTTTTTAATTTTCTATACAAAATGTTGAGTCGTGAATTTACAATATATAGGTATATAGATAAATATATGTATGTATATATGTATATTTTGGTGTATATATAACAGGATTTACATGGTAGAATTACGTATGGTGATTTTTTCAATTTGCCTCCAACAACGTGTTGCATTTTTGTTGTCGCGTTTAACAAGCAAGAATATTATCAAAGGGCAACGAATTGAAAAAATAATTGGCTATTTTTTACTAAAGTGTCTTTGTTGACATATATACAGGACCGGATTAGGGAAAAATTATAGACGGAAAAATATTTTATATTTTACCGATGTATGTAAGGAACAGTCTGAGCAATTGATTTACTACACTAAATTTTTGAGCCGGTGCAATTCTGGTTTTATTATATATATATATATATATATATATATATATATATTAGTGTATGTATTTATATTCATATTGCCAGAACAACTTTAGGGTTCCTGCAATATTCGAAAACACCCTGAGGCAATGACGATAAACTTCTGTTCAAAGTTTGCAAGAACTATATAATATACTGTTTGTATATACAAATATATAGGTCATATAAATACATACATATATATATATATATATATATATATATATCAGATCCTTTGTAAATAATTCTAAAGAATCGAAATATAGAATAAATGTAAGTAAGATGAACCTTACGACGTCTTTGTAAATATTTAATGAACACGGTTTTGTATATATATATTTATATATATATATATATATATATATATATAATAAAATATGATGTATGCGAAATGTTTTTGCATTTTTTTGAAACCGTATCACAAAGAGAAAATAAGCGGATGAAAACATATATTTATAAATATATAAATATCGTCTCATTTCAAAAGTCTTAAAGCTATTTTGTTCTTACAAATATGATATATATATATATATATATATATATATATATATATATATATATATGTATATATATTAAATTTAAAAATTGGGCGTTACACCAATAAAAAAAATTATCGATGTTTTTTAAAAAATTTAATTGAAACCCATACATTTCGGCTAACATCCTAGCTTTTATTTTTCCAATTTGATGACGTAAATTAAAAAAAAACTTTTCGTCAAGAATTTTTTTGGAATCTTTTATTATTATTTTTGTCAAAAAATTGTTTAAAATATTTTTATAATTACTATATTATTAAGTAGGCACTAGGATTTGTCGGTTTCCAAAAACCGGTTTTAAAAACCGACTTTCGGGCCGGTATAAGGAAATTAGAAAACCGGTTTTTAGTGAAAAAATCGGTTTTCAGTGTATAAATGAAAAATCGATAGACGACCTCCGTTTTTTTAAATCATTTTTTATTGAACAAAAAATAATTAGAATTTTTGAAGTTAATTAAACAGAAAATACTCTGGGTTTTGATTAATTGTTTTTAAAACTGAATTAATATTTTTTTTTATTTAAACATACATCTACATATTTAAATATGTATTGTCATAAAAATATTTAAATTCTCATATGAAAATGGTGCATTAATAACGAATAATTATTTTCATAGTTATTGAAACCAGATCAACTGTTATTTTTTAGTTCTTTTTATTAAAATTAAAATAAATTTTACTATCTATAACAATAAACAGTAAATAAATTCTGTCAAAAACTGCCTTGAATCACACTGAATTTGCCAGTAATTTTTTTTTGTTATTACAGATTATTCGAGCAAAAATGTGTTTTTCATACAAAATTGGAAAACCGGTTAAAACCGGTTTTCTGGAAAATATACCGGTTTTCTGAAATGTCGGTTTTTGTGTAAACCCTAGTAAGCACCACAATTTTATTTTTTTCTCAAATATAATAAGTATATTTAATGAAAAAAAATATATCGAATATAGATCATGTTAGTAAAACATATTGAGATTAGTTTAGTCGTCTTAGTCGACTCAGAAAATTATTTATATTCAATTCTTTAACAAAAAATTTATAGAATTTTGAATTTGTCGTCATAATAGACTCAATAGGGAATAATATATTGAAATTTTAAGACTATGATGCATATGGTTTATATTAAAAATAATATCTTACTTGTTTTGTAATGTTTTTGCTTTGGCGAAGTATCGACGGAGAAAAATGCACCGACGAAAGTTTTTTGTTCGAGAAACAACAACGCCTTATTAAAATATAAATATATAGAGATAATACATATATATATATATATATATATATATATATATATATAAACTTTATATTTCTAAATATTAATTAAATTCCCCCAGACTGTGTGATGCATGTGCATTATTCCTGCCTGCATGTTATAATTTTAATAAACTTCATAAAAATCATGAATTTCATATTTTCACAAGTCCATTGAGGCAGAAAATGAGGAAAATGAGGAAAATTTCCTGTTGTGCGATGAGAAAATTAATTTCTGGTGCCATAAGCTAAACACTTCATAAAAGATATTTAAAATAACATCTACTTAATTGGAATTATGGAGCGAAAATATAATACAAAGCTGAAGTATTTAATTTTGACTTTTTTTAAATAAGAATTGTGTTGAGGTGGAGACAAGGAAAACGCAGTGGAAAATTTATGTGGAAACCCAAAACCTGTTTTTAACCAGATATTTTTTTTTTACATTAT